AGCATGAAGCCCGGGATCCTGGCCGTACGGTCCAAGTGTGGGTGAAACTCTGTGGCCACAAAATCGCTTCGGCTGCAGGCTTTGCAATCGGTGGCCTTTAGACGTTCCCACAAGGTTTATATGTTGGTTTTGTGTCATACTCCATCCCGCCAAACCAAACCCTAGGCAACATATTATTCCATGAATTCTTCGATCAGTTGACCAAAGAAACAAAAAAGCATAGCAGTGACAGAAGAAAAGAAGAAAACACTTCACGTTTTAAAGATCACTTGCTTGGGTTCGTGCTTCTTCTTTCCTTCCTTTCTCCCCATGACCAGCCACCGCCTGCCTCACAGCGCTCGGGGTTCACGACGAGGCCCGACTCGCCCAAGAAGGCCAACTCGCTGAACAGCGAGACGTCGGCGCCTGGGATGCGCCCGCGTCGGTGACCGGTCGGGGGAACGCATGAGGTTCGGAAAGCTATGAGGTTTTGAGGGCGTTTCGAAGGCAGGAGTCATCATGAGTCGTTGCTTTTCACGGGGGAATGGAGAGTACGATCTAAGATTTGTTCACAAGCATCCTGGTGATAGTTCATGGTCGGGGCTACATGATAGATGGTCATTGGTAGAAGAGCAACAAACTTCGCGGTCCGCAGGTCAATGAGTCCTTTTACCCTGGCCTTCCTGGAGACCGTTTTGGGTTGACCTGGTTTGGTCGTCTAAAAACCTTGGTGTTAAAGCAATCCCAGACACTCCATGGGACTGCCATATATATATGCCTACATTGGGGTGGTGCCAGAGGGGTCAATGGGGCGGCAGTCCGTCCTGGCAGTCCCATGGAGTGTCAGGGAATGGTTCCATCGTCATCTGAACTCTCATGATGTCCTGCAGACGGAGGAACTCTTCTGGTCCAACCCCCTGACGAGTTGCGGAGGTGTTTGCCAGGACGCTTGTGTCGGTAGTAAGAGGTCATGAGTCATGAGTCATACTGGGACGAGCCATGGACCCCTCAGTAGACCCGTGCAGTGGGTGGTTTTTGAGGTTTCATGTGACCCTGTGCTGACGCAGACCAGGTCCATCTTCGCCAGGTTCTGGACGATTCCCCTTTCCACTTGAGGGTCCGGATGCTAAAGGTAGCTGTACAACGCATCAAAACCCTAGACACGACCTGTCTGGGTCTGCCAAAATATTTACCGATCAGGTTGGAGTGATTTCTGGGGAAGTCCACGCCTCCATGGAGAATTGTCCCTCCCCTTCGGCCTGGGTCACATGGGTTTGGTCGAATTCTCTTCCAAAAGGCTCGGAATGGCCTGGGAGATCTCCCATGTCAAAACTGACTTGAGCTAAGACCTCCCACCCAAACTAACTCCATGATGGAATCATGGTGGTCTCCCATGAGCTCAGCACCCACCCAAACTGACTCCATCCAAACCACCGGTGCCCGACTTGGTTTCGCTCGATGCGGCAGAGAGAGAGGAAACGGGTCCGGGGTCCTCGCACGAGAACAGTCACCGCCCGGTGCAGTGGTCCCGGTGTATACGGCACCCCTCGAAGTGGGGGTCGCCCTTGATTTAACAAGCCTTTACCGAAGAACACCGAACAACCATGGGTTCTACTAGGGTGTTACACTACTTAATTACAACATCTTGAAAACATCTTAAAACCAAATCAACCAAATATTATAACATGGTCGACCATCCGGACTTCCAGGGGCCACACCTGTAGTCCTTGGAGTTTGCTCTTCGAAGAGCAGCTGAGACGAAACCCAGGACGAACTCATGTACGCGGCCACCGACGGCTGTAGCGAGACAACAGCAGATATCCTCGTGCAGCGCCAGGAGGGGTAGGGGTGTCCTGAGCAGGTCCGGGGGTGTTTGTAAAGTCCCTAGAAGTCGAACCACCATTGTTTTACTAAGGGTTTTGCACTACAAAGCCAGGTCAACCTATTTTTAAAATGGTCGACTTGACTTCCAGGGAAGTGAGAAGAGGAGTTGGAAAGGAACATGTTGGAAAGCATTCCACCTCATGAAACAAGAGAAGTCACCCAGACGAACCGGGTTCACAACTCGACCATGTCCCTCAAAACTGAGGAATTGGTGAGAACCCCAGACCCCGTCAGAGGATTCGAGCCCAGGCCCCATCACCTTTCACACCCCAGGGGTCTTCATGGTGCCCCAGACCCCGTCGAGCGTGGAAGTGCATGGAAGTGCATGGCCCCACCAAAGCGGAATGACCATGTTCCTGGATCTTCCCACCAACCTCGATCCCCTGGTTGCTTGTCGGCTTGAAGGGTCGGATGGGACTTCCAAGGTCGGGAAGGTCCTGCCCGGATAGGATCCGAGGAACCCGACCCTCCAGTCTGAAGGGGTCGAACCCTGCTGTTCACAAAAGGGTAGTTGGGGCCCCTCAAAACCCTGGTTTTTTGAGGGTGCGGATCCTTAGGGTGGTTTATCATGTTCCGCGTACCTGACAGCTGGAGTTCACTCCACGCATGATTGCAAAGAGTGTGCCGAGACGATCCGTCAGTGGTTTATGACGTCTACATTCGCCACCAGTGTGGCCCACAAGCGTCATGTAGGCCCGAAGTTCACGCGGTCACCTGGATCGTTTTGGAGCAAAGAACGAGCGAACTGGAGTGCCCCAGACACTCCATGGGACTGCCATATATGCCTACATTGGGGTGGTTTGAGGGGTCAATGGGGCGGCATATATGGCATACATGGAGTGTCTGGGTGCGGTACACGCCGATCTGTTTCAGAGCTTTTACCATCGGAAGAGACCGATCAGTCGTCTAGTTCGTCGCCTAAGCCGTTCCCCGCTGTCCTCGTTCCGATCTTTGAAAAGATCTTGAAAAGGGGAAGCACCTGTCTTTTGTAGTGTCCAATCCTTAGTAGGGCTGTTTGGGAGTATATTGGGAATGTAATATATCATTTATAAGAGTAGTTCAGGGATTCTTCAGCTTCGCCAGATGCGGGTGCTCTTGCCGGCCGTGGGAGGGCCTGAAAAAGGTAGACTCCTCGGTTCCAGCGGTTGCTTCTTGTGCACGGCTGACTTGGGTTCCAATGATTTGCCACATGTTGGGCCCGGAAAAAAGAAGAACGAACGAACGCTTTTCCCAGGACCATGTTGGGCCCGGGGTGTCGGACTATGGAGGCCCCACAAGGAAGCCACTAGGGTAGTCTATTGGAGGCCCCGACAGGATAGTCCAGGGAGTCAACCTCAAGAGTTCGCACCAGGAAGGTGTCTTCGTTCGCACGGCCGGCCTGCACGTGGCCTGCACGTGGGGGGGACCCCCCAACGTGAGTCTGAGAGTCTCACCGCAGTCTGAGAGTCTCACGGCGCATCGGACGTTCGGCGCCGTTACATGGTTTTTCTGTTCAAGTCTTCTGAGGGTTCTCTACGACCGTTCGACGGATGTGTGAATCCTGAGATGGTGAAACCTGGGCAGACTCGCCAAGAAATATCGATCTTAGAGGTTGGTTCTTGATTCTGTTTGAGAAAAGGATCAGAGGGTGGCTGTGTGGATGAGATGGAATGCAGTGGTTTTGCAGCAGCCACTTCTAGAGGCGCCGAAAATCCCACTGAGTTCCGAAAGCGCATGTGTTTCTTTCATTGGTCGTGTTATTAAGGGATCATCTACAGGAAGCCCAATCATTTTAGGGATGTTTCGCCATTTTTGGAGGCCTACCTGGAACCCCAGTCCCAACCAGAAACAGTTCTGGTCGTTCCAACATGGCTTGCTTGAAATCCTTTACGGACATGGCTGGGACTGGGGAAGTCACGGCCCCACCCCGGCTTGGCTCGGTCAGGACCCGAACGTGAAGGATGATGTGGGAGAGACGCCCCTGTTCAAGGCGTGGTGCTCTGATGGTGCTGATGTTTCTTCAAAACCAGCACTGAAGAGGTACTGTAGGTCCAAAGCAACCAGGTTCATTTTGGGCAACAAAAAGGAAGGTGCACAAGGTGAGAGGTGGTGAGAGATGGGACCGACCTTTTCTGCGAAGCAATTGGTCCGGAAAAGCCTTTCGGGGACACTTGGGGGTGTCCCCTATATCTCAAACAGCTTGGGGGATGGGTTAACACCTGAAGCCCCCAGACGCTCCGTGAAAGCAGCCGGGCCCGTCCCTCAAAACCTAGAGATTGGTGAGAAACCCCAGACTCCAGGGCCGTTCGGGTCCGGTTTGGGCACCGCTAGAAAAAGGAACACGACTTTCATCTATAAAAAGTCCCATCTTTTGCAGGGGACTCCCATCAAGGTCATGGCACCACACCGGGGCACCCCCCCGGGTCAAATATATGGATCCCTCGTTTGGGAGGTCCCTGGTGAAGATGAAGATGATCCAAAGAGAATATTCGGGACGATGGCAACCTCCATGGCCCTGGTCTCAAATGAAGAAGCTCTTTTAAGTCAATCATCATCCAAAGTCAATGCAACATTACTATAATCTGTATGTGTATATATATATATACACGATGTGAAGTCAGTGTCTGAAATTTTAAGGCATGCCCACCTCACTTTGCTGCGGGACCTTGGCTTCCTCACAGCGGCGTTCACACCAAGTCCGAGTCCGTCAAGTTTGGAGAATGAAAAGATCAAGTGAGGGACACACCACCCGGACAGAAGAAACATAGAAACAGTACAAATGGCGATGTTCGTTACAAGATACGAACATGTTTTCTGCATGCAGAACATGACGTGTTAAATTATTGTTAATAGGTGTTCCCGACTGAAAGGGATCAAGATGATCGAGTTTGGTGCATCTTCTCTTGGATGTGCTTTGATGTGCCATCTTCTTCAAACCAGGATGGGTCCAGTGCGGGGGATATGTTTGGGCGTCCCCTACCCCGGAAAAGTGCGTAACCTTTCACCTTTCTTTGGGGATATTCGGGACACCCGCCTAAACAAGAACAGGTCGAGCAGTTCGGAAGAAACCTCGATTTTCCAGGCATACGGGTCAGTCATCGGGGGGGTTCCAGGGGGTCAGGTCCCCTTATGTCTAGCATGTCTATAGGTGATGGAAAGCGGATGTTTTGATGTTCAACCCTTACTTGGGGATGAATGATTGGACCCTCTGACTCATATTGTTCGGATGTGGGTTGAAAACACCAAGCAGATGTTGATCGGATGAGTTGTTGGGAATTGAGAAAAGAAGGAGGCATCCAGGTTCCAACTGTTGGTGCAGTGAGGGTCGATTCGCGAGGGAGGTCTGCTCATCTTTGGACAGCTTCCAGGGAAGGAAGCTGACTCATGAGCTCATCCAGGTGCCAGGTGGCATCTCTGAAGCAATCGAACAAAAGACGCCTGGTGGATGGCACCTCAAACTTTGTGTGGCATCCATAGGTGAGATGTGGGTCCACCTGGATCCATACCTATTATATGCTATTAGTTCATGGGACGGGTTGCAGGGAACGGAAAAATCATGAGCTTTTCACAACAAAAAACAAACGACTATATCAAATTCTATGGGCTCCAGATCTTCCCTTCATCCTTCAACCACTTCTCAGATCCACTCTGAGATTCCACTCGTTGCTCGTTCGAAGGCTTCGAAGGGTTCCGAACGCGCGGTGGTGCGTCGTGAGGCTGCTGAGGGTGGACATTTGGAGGTGGTGGAACTCCTCGTGGGATGCAAGGCAAGGTCTTTTCGGCTGGGCCTTCCTATCTGAACCGGTGACGTGGGTCTCCAGCTGTGGACAGCGAAGGGAGCCTGGTGACTTGCACGGCGCACGAAGGATTTCGGAACAAGAAGAACCACCCTCTAAGGTCCTCCATGGTTGTGGATGGCATGATGTCTGGAATGAACGGTGAACTCCACTTCGGGCAGTTGGGAGGGTAAACATGCCTTCAGCCGCAGGGGTGCAGGCCACCTGCAAGTGGCGGTTGGAAGAGGAACATTTTCTGTGTGAGGGCAGTCTAGGAGTTTGGGGTAGTCATGGGATAGAAATTACGTTACTTCGAGTGATCCCCACGATGGCATTTCAATCTGACAAATGTTCGGCATTCTTTCTGGCATCTCTTCTGACTTTTTCTGGCATATCTTCTGACATTCTCTCTGGCATATCTTCTGGCATTCTCTCTGGCATATCTTCCCACATTCTTTCTGGCATATCTTTTGACATTCTTTCTGACATTCTATCTGGCATATCTTCTGCATATCTTCTGACTCGCGGTTGAGGTCCGGCGAGGAACACTGCCAGCCGAAGCTCGCGGTTGAGCTGGCAGTTGAGGTCCGCCGGGGAACACTGAGACAGAGTCTCAGAAGAAAGAGCATAATGTAATAAAGACTATGTTTCCTGCCGTCAGAAAGCGACGTTTGGCACTCTTTTGAAGATCGCGGAAGACAATTTTGGGGTCAGTTTTGGTGTTGAATTAGATGGTGGAAAGGCGTGGCGAAGCAGATTGCCGGGAGCCTTGGGAGGGAGTCTTTGGGGTCAGTTTTGCTTCCGCAGCCAAAAGTGATGTCGCTGCAAGTGTCGTTTTGTTTCAGATAGTCGTGGCTCCGGGTCCTTTGTTCGAACAAGAATGGGCTGGCTGTGCGCGCTGACAGGGGCGCTGGGTCTGGTGGCTGTGTGCTGGCTGCGTGCGCTGTTAATGGAGCCTGGTGCTGGTGCCGCTGCAAAGTGCTGCCAGATGAGCTTTGGAGATTCCACTAAGGGTGCCGCTATGGTGCTGCTCACAAATATCTTTGCTAGCTAGGCTCAATTGCAACCTTTCAGTCAAGCAGCCAGCTGGTTAAGGCTGAACAAAGCCAAAGCACTGTTTGAATCGTTCTCTCTTCTTCTGTCCTCGTCTGCATTTTTTGGCGGTGAGGCGTTGCTCCATCAAGAGATGGAAGCCTTGCGAGTTGAGCTGAAACGTGAATGCAAACGCGCGGCCAACGACCAGAAACTGCTTGCTGCCAAGAGGCAGCGGCTTCTGAGGGCGCACGCTGGTGTTGTGATCTTACTCTGCTTGCGCGAAACGAGCAAACTTGGCAGGCTGCTAAAGGCCTTTCTGCCGCTGACTTGCAGCTGCTCCTGAACCGCGCTGAAGGTGCCAATGTGTCTTAGAGATTGCGTGACCGTTGATGTGCCCACTGCAGCGACATGTACTTGGCCCCGTCTCTGTGACGACGTGTTTTGCATGTGGATTGCTGGCTAAAGAATTCACCAGAAGCGGTTCAGCTGTTTTTGGCAGGTGCCGGTGGAGGCAGTGCTGCAGGCAAGCCATGTTTTGCAATGTCACGAAAGCCAGATAGATAGGCTACAGGCTGGAGTTGGGTTGCACGAACGAAGTGAGCAAAGGGGGTAACGAAGAAAAGTATTTGCAGTTTGGGGGGGGTTTGATGCAGGTGATGTAATTGACAGCCATTAGTGCATCATTAGCATCATGAGAGGCCCAAGAGGCTATCTAAAGCGTTTTCTACTGGGGAAACGGAGACGTGCGTGCCAGGAAGTTTGCCTGTTCTTTGGTTGGTTTTGTTTGTTGTTTGGTTGTGGTTTTGCTTTGTTTTTTGCATGAGTGGAGACGCCATGTGTGCATGGTGCACAGGTCATCTTGGACCAAGATGAATCTCTCAGAGAACCAAAACAAACAGCAACCCAAAAACCCCAAAACAACCAACAAAGCAGACAAAAACCAAAAACAGAGCCGAGAGAGGAGGAGATTCGAAGTCTGTACAGGAGGTGAGACCTGAGTGAAACGGAACTATGACTCTTTGGGCAATGAATTCGGGAATGAGCTTCAGAGCATCTCCCGGCCATCTCTGGAATTTTCGCTGGAGCCAGAGACAGATTTGGAGCGGCCATGGCTGGAGTCTCCGGAGCTGTCTCTGGAGTTTTGGAGCTAGAGACAGAGTCTCAGAAGAAAGAGTATAGTTTAATAAAGACTATGTTTCCTGCCGTCAGATTCGACGTTTGGCACTCTTTGAAGATCGCGGAAGACGATATTTTGGTGTGGAATTAGATGGTGGAAAGGCGTGGCGGAGCATACAGTCGACGCTGGCCCCACATTCCGGTGACGGAATTACGCACTTCTGCTGTGGAGCATCCGTATTGCAAGGGTGAGCACCTGCTTTTATGCACAGCCGAAGGATGCCGATGGATCTGAAAGATCCTTGCCTGGTATGCGTGGACTGCAAGGGGTCTTTGATGTCTTCCATTCTGACACTTCCTCGGCACAGCTTGGCGAACGACCTCTGGATCGGCGAGCAACCATCTCCACTGCGTGGCTCGGCTTCGGCCACGAAGCGATGACTTCCAATGACCAGGGCGTGTGCGCAGGTGGTTGTCTTACAGCCAGGACACTTGGGGCGGGAAGGGCGTCAGCATGGATTTGTGGGAAACACCATTTTTTTGCCTCAAGCAAAACCGTCTTCGGTGCTGAAGACCTTACCCCCACCAGAGGTGGACATGCAAGATGCAATTCTCTTTGCCTTGGTTGGGAGCCAGAAGGATGCAGTGAAGGGGTCGGCTTTGTTGCGAGCGCCTAGGAATGAGTACGCTGCTGCTGTGGAGTGTCTGCGGCAAACGAATCCGTTCTTTCCAGAAGTGACACTGGGAGATGGTGGTGATGTTCTTTTGGAAGGTTGCGTCTTGGAAACAGCAGAGGATTCGGCTTTGGCGAGGGAACTGTTACAGAAAGGACCCGCCGACGCACAAGGACAAGAAACACCAGATTTCGGGATCCCAGTGAGTTGTTTCAAGATGCATTGTGAAAGGTTTGCTGTAGGACAGACGAAGATCGCCGTGGGTGTTGTTAGTAAATACACTATTTGTTTTCTTGCGATCGTTTGCTTGACGGTGGGGAGGAGGAGGAGCAAGGCAGCTGACCAAGTCTCACAACTCTCACCTGACAGGTGGGTGGGGAAATTCCTAGGCTTCCAAGAACCAGTGCTTTAAATGTCTTCCAAACAACCTTTGTTCTATTAGGGGCTTTGGGCTAACAAATCAGGTCAGCCATTCTCTTAAGGGTTTTTTGAAGGTTAGGCTTGCTTCTTCATCAACTTTCGAGCGCTGGGCGCACATGTGTGCCAAGGGCAATGCTATGCATTCGATCAAGAGCATTTTCTCGCTTCTGTGTGATTCATTCTTCGAGATGTAGGACTCTGATGGTGTTCACACGGGAGGCTTCATTGGGGTTCTCACAACAGGAGATCTTGAGTACTTTGCAGACCGTCACTAGCTCTCAAGGTGGAACGCGAGAAATCCCGGCAGCATCTGCAATGCGTTACAAGACAGAGTGGTTCTTTGGAGTGACATTCGAAGCTGCCAGGATGACACTTGGGTATTGCCTCAATGACACCGATGCCGCCGATGCCCTTTGTTCCGTCGATTGTTCTCCACATTGACGTGTGTTTTTTTGTTTTTAGTGCTGTATCCGCTCCTTCTCCTCCTCCCGCCGCCCTCCACCCAACCACCAACCACCAACCAACCACCACCAACCAACCAATCAACCCACTCACCCACCCACCCACCCACCCACCAACCCACCAACCCCCCAACCCACCAACCCACCAACCCATCAACCCACCAAACCACCAAACCACCAAACCAAACCACCAAACCACACCATCAAACCACCAAACCACCAACCACCAACCACCCACCTGGTGCTCTGCAAGGGGTCGGATGGACGCCCTGGCGTCCCTTGGTCTCCGCCGCTCTGCCGGTGCATAATTGCCGCCAAAAGCCGTCTGCCAGATTACACGCACTCCAAAAATTCCCGGAACAGACCAGCGCTTTCTAGGTTCAGCGGCCTGCCTGCTCCTTTTCCACTTAACAGACCGAGCTCAAATGCTGGATGATCGGTTTTTCAGTTTGATGCGCATGCCATGAGGATATGGTTGATTCCTGTCTCAAAGATTCCTTTCCGAGAGATCGGTTTCTAAGAGCTTCAATCTCACAGTTGAGAAGTATATGGCATGTGCGCAATTCGAGTTTTGATCCCAAAACCATCTAGACAACAACTTGACAGCCGGCAGCTGGGCAAGTACAATCCTTGCAACTCAGAACTAGGTTCTGCAAAGGACTTTGGTCGTGAACCTTGCAAAGTTTATTGCAGGACGAATCACCTTCCAATTGCATTGGACTCTGAATCCTCAGGGTCAGACTGAACCAATATTGCCAAGCTGCGCTGACCATTTGGAGTTCCAACGGGTTAATTTGCAACATGTGTGCAGTTCAAAGGTTTCTGCAAACCTGCACTTCCAGAACAAATCCAGAGTAGCTGCCCTTTTGAAAAGGCGATGTTGCTAATTTTGCCAATGCACCTGACATTTCCCGAGTACTGAGTGATATAGACATCAGTTTGTTTAAAGTCAATGTTTTTGTTAAATCTGCTTGAAATCCATGTTGGGCATTGTTCTCAAAGCGTTCTTGGTGGCTAATAGGATAACCGACCATGATAATAGGATACATGAAAAAGACCATATCTTAATTAATGTAAGATATCAACAATTTATTTTACTATAGCTATATACACCCTATTAACTATTAACACGCTAAGAGGATCCTTGGGGTAGGTGGGGCAAGTCCGCAAAGTACCAACTATAGTCGCTTCTCTAGGTCTATTATTTGGCAGATCCTATTCCAAACCATCCCCTGAACCAAAGAAAGGAACCGCGGAACTATTTGTGGTGTGCCGTAGGCAGAGTTGCATATTTCTTTGCGATGCCTCTGATGCAGTTGAAATCAAAGATCATAGACCTACCCAGGAAAAGTTGATCACCTTGAACCATTTTGTGCGGCTTGGGGTGTCCCCCCCACGACAACAACGAGCTGGTGGTCAGTTCAGTTTAACCTTCGATGTTCCACTTGGATGACCTGGTCCGCCCCACTTCAACCAACCGCCGCGACCGGCCAGCCCCCACGCCCGGCAGGCCATTTTTGGGACCAAAACGGGTACCATCTCAGTGAGAAGAGGTTAAGTGACCATATAGGACCCTACTTGGGGTACCTAACTGGGATGGCCTATAGGGTTCTTCAACCTCTGTTGGAGTGAACCCGATGATCTCCACAAGTGGCACCAGTCGCAGTACGTACCCCTGGTCATGGTACTGGGCGGAAGAGATTGACCCAGCGGGCGCCAGTCACGCCCGTTTTTCCGTCCGAGGATGTTCGCTCATGCTCGCGCTCCTCCCGTTCTCGCGAGGCCAGCGTGCACTGTGCGAACCAGCAGGGTCTCACGGCACTTCATGCGGCCAGTGAAGGGGGCCATCTGGAGGAGCCTTGGACGAGCCGAAGCTGTTTGGGTGTCCCGAAGTCGGAGAAACGAAGAAAAAAGCTCCCCTACAACAACTAGGACAGGTGGGAAAAACACATGTAATTATATAAGTATAAGTAAGTAAGTAATCTTGTTTTTCTCCAAGGAAACTGAGGGATTAGGGACACTGAGGAGCCGCCGCAGAGTTGGGTTGCTCTGAGGGAGCGGAGGGGGTGGGACACACCTCAAAGGAGAGGTGAGGAGATTGAGAGATATGTTCTGCGAGACCATGCGAGACTGAACACATGTTGAAGCTAGGAGAAAGAGACCCCCCACACTGGCTAGGGCTTTTTCAGGCCGTTAGAGAAGAAGACTGACTGGATAAGTAAAAAGAGATCGTTCCTACAAGAAGTCGGACTAAGGTTTAATCAAAGGCTTAAGACCCATCCGGTGGCAAGCCACCGGCCAACCGGGCCTCTGCCGGGGTCTGCAAGTGCGGTCGAGATCAGGTCAATCGCTTCCCAGCAGTGTCTTGTTCTGCCCGGATAGGATCCGCACCCGAAACCAAACAAGGGTTTGGTTCGGGGCCCCAAACCCTTGTGAACAGCAGGGTTCGATCCCTTCAGACTGGAGGGTCCACGGATCCTTAGGGTTCTCAAAAAGATGGAAATCCCTCCAAAAAACTGCAGAGTCCAACGATGTGCCACATCTATGCACCCTTTTGTGTTTGCACAGCTTCTTCCTTCCACTCACGTCCGTAAGCCTCTTCGACCATGTGAGTGAGTCAGAGTGTACTTGGGCTTGGGATGATTTGAACTCTGCAAATTCCCCAAAGTCTGACCCATACTACTTCAAGTGAGTAGAAACCTACCACCCAAGCAGCACCATTCGACCGGAATCGCGGCCCAAAAACCGACTCAGCCCTCCCCGTCGACGCTCCGTTTTCGTTCCCAGCCCACAGGGATTGGTTCAGGTCACCCCTTCAAAGGATTCGGGTCCGACCCCTCCATAGGTTCGGGGCCCGTTCGGGTCGCGTCTGGAGGGCGAGTTGGGTGGCTGGGTTCCACCGGCTCAGGTCATCAAGAAGCTCCTGTCCGCGAAGGCGAAGATCGAAGCGGTGGACCGGAACGGGCGCCTCGGGCATCGAAGAATCCCGCTGGGCCCGGGAAGCGCAACGGTGGAGGAACTCGGGAAGCGCCGGAGTGTTTGTAGGGGGGGTTGGTATCCTTAAGTATCCTTAGAGTCTATAGGATCCTTGGCCCAGCATTGATTTCATGGGTGGAATCTCGAAGAAACCAGAGGTTTTCAAGATATTTTTCACTACGAAACCAGATCAACCAGCTGTTTCAAATGGTCGAACGGACTTCCTCCAGGGTTTTGTATCTTAAGTTTCGTCATGAAGCCAGAGTTGTTTCGTTGGCAGAAGACAGCCAGTTTGGGCGCGTTGTCACAGGGTGCGTTGTACTTCAAACTGCTCGCATGATCCTAGGGCCCCTGAAGGGAGAAAAATCAGGCTTTCGACTTGCAAAAATCAGGGGGAAAGAACTGAGTCGGTGTGGAGATAGACTGCAGTGACTTAACAGAAGGCCTTCCCCCTTCAAGAAAAGAAGAACGTGGTAACTTGGGTCGTCTCATCTCTCAGAGCTTTCCTCACGTCGATCCAAACCTTTGCTCCAACGCACCACCGATGTTCTCGAAACGAAGCTCGCACCCGCACTCGCAGCACCCGCGCCGACCCCAGGCGCACGGCCATCTTCCATGCGGCCTCCAACGGCCATGCGGCCACCGTGAAGCACTTGAGCCTCGGAGGCGATGAACATGAAGGGAGCGGAGAGGGAACCCGTTGGGTTCCCACGTGGACACGTGGGTGTGCCATACATGGAGCATTCACCGTTCAGGTTGAACTACAAGGACACATGCAAAAAGGTGTGGTTCAATAAAAGGAATCAGAAGAAGATTGGGGAAAGTTGTGATTTTTTCTGTATGAAGAGGTGTAACAACCCAAATGGATGGTTTATTGTGGTGAGTTTCATTCATCAAGGTTACGTTACATGTACGAAGAGAGCATTTGATTCACGCTTGTAACCAGCAGTTGAGGACCTAGGCCGGCATGAAACGCTCGTTGCGCTCGCTCAAAGTGCTGCTGTTTGCGTCGCTTTGGTGTCCTTCATGGCGAAAACCAGTGTTTGGTCGCGTCCGAACGCTCCGTTCGTAGCGATGCCAGGAGCCCCCAGTAGTGTTCATCTTCCCCGGTGAAACTGGGTGACTGCCCGAAACTGGGGATGATGTCTTTGTGTCCTTCCCGCGGCCGGTTTGAGCTGCAAGCAGCCTGAAAACCGTCGGCCTATTTCGTCGACCGAATCGATGCCAAAGCCATGGTGGTCAGGCATTCAAAGCTGGAAGACCCACTGTCTACATGACCCTTTTCTCATTGATAGTCCATGCAATGGAAAGACTTCATCGTGCCATCAACCAGAAGCGAAGCGTGTTTGTTGCCCTTTCCTGCCTAAAGCATCTAAAGCTGGTTCCCAGCCTAAACCGCGCGCCAAAATCTAAGCCAACACAAAAAGGCACGGTCACCCCCGGTGTGGCAACGAACCAAGGATGCCGCTGTGCAAGAAGAGCAAGCCTGACGCGCCTCGGTCCGCATGTTGGTCGGTCCACATGGCTTGAGGAGGAGGTCTTCATGCGAGTTTGGTTCTTAGGGGGGGGCAGCTCTTCATGTGGCAGGTGTGTGTGACTTAGTGGTGGCCCCTTGGTGCAGGCGATCTTTTACTCAAGGAAGCTGCAAGAAAAAAGAAGCCGCACAAATGCTAACAACATGCCGATTTGAGTGACTTCAAAGATAAGAATGTGTACCAGGAGTCACGTTCGACGTGGTGGTGTTTTGTCCCATCCAGTGAGTGGATGTGACAGGGGCACCCCTAACCTCCATGGATAGCACCCCGTCTTGTGACTGCTGGTAGTATGAAGTTGAAAAGATCTGTCCCTCAATGGTGCCCCATATGTGTTGTTCAACACTTCAACGGCGGCCCTTGGTGCGGCCATTGCTTCCCAAAAACCATGGCCTCGGCGCCCAACCACCAGACCGACCTCTCGGCCACCTGAGATTCGTGGCTGCCTACCGGTGACCATGGCAGCGCAGAACGGGCATTTAGAGGTGCCGAACAGGGGGGCAGGGAGGGATTCCGGTTGGATGGGATGGATGGGATGGGATGGGATGGGGGGAGGGAGGGAGGGATTGCACTTTGTGACTTCATCCATAGTGGAAGTGAATGGCATGTTGCTAGACGAAAGCGGATGACCATGAAATCCGAAGAGCAGACATCTCCAACGAATAACCAACTGGAAGAGATTCTATTTTGATAGGGTCAGGGTGCTTGCTCAATTTTGGACTAGAGAGAATCAGCATTTGGTCTGAATGGAAAAAAAGCAAGAAGAGTTCCAGAACAACACCATCTCCAAACAATGACCAACTGGAAGATATTTTTGGCAAGATGGATCACGTTGCTTGCTCAATTCCAGATCGGTTTATGGACCAAAGAAACCAACCAATCCGCTTTTTGTAGCTTTTGATGGTGGTGATGGTGGTGGCGGTGATGGTGATGATGATGGTGGTGGTGATGGTCTGGGCTGATGGTGGTGATGGTGGTGGTCGTGGTGATGACGGTGGTGGTGGTGATATATACCCTAGAAGTCCAAAGACAGAAGAGGAGGGTATGTAGTCTTTAGACTTGCTAGGTATATATACTCTTCGCGCCTTCAGACAGAAGAACCACCGGTGGCGTGACCCCCAGTGACCCTTCGGTGCGGCCCTTCAGGTGGTCTTGTGCCTCCTGAACGGTGAGTCGGAGCACACCGTCCGCACCGTCCCGCGGCGGAGACGGACGGCGGGACGGGAGGACGGGATGGACGGACGGACGGGACGAAGGACCTGGTCGGACCAGCAACGAGAATCATACCACCCTAAGGATCCGAGTTCGGACCCTCCAGTCTGAAGGGGTCGAACCCTGCTGTGAACTCAAGGGTTTGGGGCCCCGCATGTATCCTCAAAACCTTTGTTTTTTGAGGGTGCGGATCCTTAGGGCAGGACCATCCAAAGGGTGTCCAATGGAAGCTCAGAAGGATTCTAGGGTAGTCTATTGGAGGCCCCACAGGATGGTCCAGGTACGTAGTAACATTCGCTTTTGCTTGGCTTTGAGGTTCCAGACTTGCTAAAAAACCCGTGCAATTAGTTCTGAGGGGGGTTGGGGCATAATATGACTTGGGGACCATGTAGTTCTAGTGGAAACATATCGAAATGCGACCATCCAAACAATGTCCAGTGGAGATCTCTATTAAGTAGTCTAGGGTAGTCGATTGCGCACTCAGACAGGACGGTTTTTGCTTTGAAGGGATTCACTCTGGTTGTGCAGGGTCCCATCTGTACTTCCGAGCTCATTTTGTAAGATTGTTTCGACCCAAAAGAGCATTTGCTGTTGGCTTTGCCTAAGATCAGCCTGGTGTTGCTTAAAGAAAGGGCGATTGTGTTTTTCTCGAACTGGGTGAAGACTATTCTATTCTCCCTTCCTATACTTGTGGCTGTTCTGTTGTTCCTGCGAGCTGCAAATCCAAGCCATAGCCAACCCACTGATCGCCACAAGTAGTGGAGGTTCTTGGTTAGTCCCTGGTTTGATCATCAAGCTGGAAGCACTGCTTACTACCACTAATTACATTGGACAGTCGAGGTGGAGACATCGATGGTATGTCACACAACCTGGGCTAGACATACCAGGACCATCGTGTTTGGGTGTCCTGGCTGGACTACCCTACCTACACTCTACTTATAGGGATCTTGTACATCTCCAGATGGGGCACCCAGACTGGATACACAGAATCCTCCACGTGACCTGGAAGACCGCGGCCAAACCTTCACGTCGGACGAAGCGTCCGTGGCCCCGAGAATGTGGGCGCTTCGTCTCAGGTCTTGCGAGTGGCGGCACTACAGGGACATGGACACATCGTGAGGCAGTTGGTGAAGATGAAACTGAAGGCAGGGTGAGGGCAAAGTGACAAAAAGACTGAGTTGACTGCAAAATGCGCTGCAGGAGCTTTGGGTTCTTGCGGTTCAATCCACGTGAAATTAGTGATGGTTCCGCTAGGAAAGATTTAGGACCTCTGACAACAGGAGAAAACTTCAGGGTCTATATGTTGTTGAGTTGGAGTGTTTTTCAGTAGGGGAAAGCATGCGATTTTGATGACCTTTATGACTCTCAGCACCTCTGAGAATGACCCTTAACCGCACGTAGTGGAGCAATCTCTGAGAACCTGCCCAGGCCATTCCAGGCAGTGCCTTGCATGCGGCCACTTTCAACGGACATGTGGAGGCCCGTTCCGGCTCGCCTGCGTTTCAGCTCGCAGCTCGTGGACTGTTCCGGTCAAGGCATGGATGTTTTTCTTCACCCTAAGGATCTGGACCCTCAAAAACAATGGTTTTGAGGGTACAAACCCCTGTCATAGACGGTTCGACCCCTTCTATGGAGGATCCTTAGGGCAGTGATACAGGATTCTTTCTTTCTTTCTTTCGGTTTTTGGATTCACTCCCTGAAACGATCATGGTGGTAGAAAGTGGCCCGTTGGATAATGAAATCCTTCCAATTACATCTACTTATACCAGGACCCCAAGGGGTGGTTAATGGACCCCCCTTAACAGCTAAGGGGCTATAAATAGACACCCCTTGCAGGGTCCTGGTACATGATGGGTTGTTCCAGGGGGTGTATGGACGGCTGTGTTGGAGCATCCAAAAAATGTCCCATGACTGATCCAGCAAATGTCTTTCAAACGCATCAAATGTTATGTCTTCGCCGTTTGTCCAGACAGCGCCCCAATCCTTGAACGGCTGAAATGCTATCCCAATCCTCGGGGGCGGTTGTCCGCCCGGAAGGTTCATCCAAATCTCATCCGAAGTGGGTCAACGTCGTTTTCTATGGTTTTCTTATTTGTCGACGTCCTTTTTCTGCGCCGTCCGTCGGTGCTCCCCAAAGGTGGTGAAGGATCTCCTGGAGGCTAGCGTGGACGTGAACGAAGAGGATGAGGCGTTGGTGTGGTCGATTGGCCCATTCCCGGACACGACCTGTCTGGGACTGGCATATTTGACCTAGAACCTGATTGACCCCTGTTTTGGAGCCAAAGCATGGTCTTTTCCTCTCAAAACAGAGGTCATGTCTGGGTTCATCGGTACATGCGTTGACCCCAACTTCAACCAGCCCCGGCCTTTTCTCGGTCGTCTGGACTGCCAGTCCCAGTCCCGGCGCGAGGCACGAGCACGCAGGGACCCTGCAGGCACGGACGCTCCCGACTGAACTCGGACGCAGGAGGGGTGGACTGCAGCGATGTCTGCGGCGAAGTATGGCTATCATGAGATCTTGAAGGCGCTCTTGGGGACCAACCGCAAGGACTGAGTGCGACAGCGGCTAGCGCGGCTGTGACAGCTGCAACAACAGCAGGCTAAGATGTCCATGTCCATGTTGGGGTATAGTCAGTGCAACAGGGGAAGTGGTGATCTGTTCTTCCAAGGACTGGTGACTCAAATGGACTGTATCGCGTGTGGCACAGGCTCACCCCTCGCTCCAATCACGGCATTGGCTGAGCTTCACTCGATGAAGCTGGGCCCAATGCAGCCCAAGAGACCTGTCGTTCCAGTTGGCCCTGTCGTTTGCTGTTGTCCTTTCACCAAACCAGAAACTGGGGCGTTAACAGCAGACGATTGAGCAAAAGAAGATCAGATATGAGTCTTGCCATGTCTTGCCCTAACAAAAACCTGCTATAGACCAGTTTTTTGCATTTCAGAGACGCCTCCCCAATTCGATCTGGAGGACCTGCTGATGCCAACACAGGTTTTCGCCCGTACCTAGCAAGAGAGGTTAAGTTCACCTATCATAGGACCAAGAGTAGTAGTCTATAAGGTTCTTCAACCTTTGTTGGTAGCCACCCAAACAACCCCTCTCGTTCAAAGCCCCCAATTCACGGAGCGAATCTGCGGAGAGGAGGCGGAGAAGACCGGGGCCTTGGCATTGTACCTCTCCGCGGAATACGGCCAAGCAGAGGTGCCAAGCAGCAGAAGTATGGGGATCGATTGGTATGGGAGTGCGAGCAGAAGACCTAAGCAGAGCAGATCTGGGCCGGGTGATACAGGGTGTGTCGCGGGGGTGTCCTGCTCAGGGTGGCATGCCTTCTTCTCAACGATCGAAGGTCTTGTTTTTCCGCTCCAGTCGCACCTAAGGAGGTGGTGTGAGGGGAGGGTGCCGGGAGCCTTCGGTCCAGTGCTTAGCTTGGAGCCCATAGGGTACAAGAAGTCCACTCCGACCACGGATTGGTTTTCGCACTCAGCTTGGAGTGATGATGGACCGCCCTTCGGCCAGCTCTTCACGGTTTTGGCCATCTCAGCCTCCGATCCGTTGCCTTTCCCCCCAAACAGAACATCCGTCGCTCCGGTGTGGGGGTCCTCGTGGGCGTGTTCGAAAACCCGCGGCCCAACGAAGGTCTTGAAGACTTTGCTGAAGGCTGGCGTGAACAAAGATGCAGCTGACTCAGAGCCTCGGAGAAAGCCTATACCCAGACACGACCTGTTTGGGACTGGCATATTTACCTACATTGACCCCAACTTCAACCACCCCTGGACTGATCAGTCAATATGCCGGTCCCAGACAGGTCGTGTCTGGGATAGGTGGCTGGGTGCAGCTGCACGAGAGATGAGTCCCAGCCACCGAGCCCGGGATTTTTGTGGATCATGTAGATCTCTTGATTCATAAACCCCCCCATATGAAGCATGTCCAATTCAAATGGGAGGGTTTTGTGAATCAAGAGTCGACATTAACCTTGAACATGTTTTGGGGTATTGGTTTCTCCACTAAACTAAGAACAAATGGAAAAAGATTAACCTCTATTTTCCAGGGATACTTTTTGGGGGTCAGGTAAACTAGTAAGAGTCATTCTTTGAGCAAGGTCAACTGGGATGAAGTGACTCCACAGGGTTTCTGTGATGAACTGAAGATTTCGGTCACCTTGAAGACTTGAAGTCCGAAGTTGGTTGGACACATCCGATCAGAAGGTCTGTTGCTGCCGTTCGTCAAAAATGATGCTCGACATGAACCAACATAGCAAGAAGCTACTAGGGGCTCCTGGCCGTACTACTAGGAGCAAGTAGCTACTAGTAACAAGAAGCTACTGTAGGGGCCTTAGGGGCTCCTGGCATCGCTACGAACGCAAGGACGCTACGGAACTCGTAGCTCCTGGCCTTACTACTAGGAACAAGGTTCGCTACTAGTATACGTAGTAACAAAGGTTTACTGGGCCACGTGGTTCTCATCCAAAGGAAGGACAAACGCACAAGGCTCCCTATGCCGCTGTTTGAAAACGACCGAAACACAGCCGAAACACATCACAAGCTGGCGCATCGTCCTTATCTTTTGGGTCGCCACATTATCCAAAGAACTGGCTGGGTGAAAGAATAGCATTTCCTAACAGGATGTTTGCTGTTTTGGAAGCTGTTGGACTTGACCTATCAACTCCTTCACATCTTCGATAGAGGCCATTCAGTAAGTAGTGAGGGAAAGTATGTCCTGATGTGTAGGGTATGTTGGGGGGCGACCCCACCAGTTTTTGAGTTGGGACGAAGATGAAGTCTACACAGTTCTTGCCGGGGCAGGTAAGTGACCCTCCATCCTTCCATACCCCGAGGCCCGAGGCCCAAAACACTGCAAAACCTGAAGCTGATGGCTTCCAATGTCCGCCACCAGCAGTCGGTTTTGTTTGTTGGTGTTCCCTTGGTTCTTGAGCCTTTGAAGGGGCCACCCCCAATTTTGACCATGGCATCCGGGCCGCTCTTCTTCCCAGGAAGGCTCGACGGCTGAAGGATGTGTTGTGTTCGGGTTCTTCTCTCCTCAAGCTGTTGCCCGGGTCAGGAGAAGTGGACCGCCCTGCATGCAGCCTGCAGCAAGGGCAAGCTGGAGGTGGTGAAAGCCTTACAGGCCATCTTCAGCAAACGGCCAATGGCCAGCTCCCTGTGGTATTTGTAAGCTGTTTGATGGCGTTGGGCTTTGGCGATTTGGTTTTCAGATACCATCGTTTTGTTTCTCTCAGCTCTGTTTTCTTGCTGGTTGTCTAGGGGATATATGCGGACTCCTTACCGATTGGAATACATACGTGTCGCCAACTTCAAGATGGTTGAAATGCATCGTCCCACTGAAAGGCCATCAGGAATCTTGATAGCATTCTGATAGTCAGCTTGATTGGTTTCAGGGTATCTCGATAGGGCCCTTGCTCCTCATCTCTATCGTCTTTTGCATTAAGCCAATCATGTTCAACCCCGACTTGGGATGATTGAACTCACTGACTATCACCGACTCATATTTTCAAGGGGTTGAAATAGACCACCAAGAAGAATCCAATGTTGGAGCTTTACATCTACTCTGACTCTGCTGGGGCCTTTGCCATCTCCCCAGAACCATTACAGCAGCCCTGCTGCATTGCCATCTGTCAATTTCTCCTTCATACGGAGCCCCACGTCCTCGCCACCCCACCCATCTCCTCCCACTCGTCGCGGATCTGGTGACGCGGATCTCGTGGCGTCGCCCATCTCCAGGCAGCGCGCGCAAACCTGGACCTGCAAACCCAAGACCTCACCTCAGCATTGCACCTGGCTGTGGGCGGCGGACATTTGGAGGCAACACGCCGGGGCAGTGTGAGGCAACACGCGGCGTCGCTGGGGTGAACTGCTCCACCGCTCCAAACACCCACCGCTCCAGAAATGAAGGTCGCCGCAACGAGGATCCTGCCAGGCTTGAAGACCAAGCTTCGCGGTCAAAACAAGACACGTAGGCCACGTAGGTGTCATCAACGTGTACATTGGATCTCTCGGAGAAAAAAACTGTTTTAAAAAGAAACGACCCCCTTCCTTCAATGTGGCTCACCACTCACCTCCTATGGCCCTATGACTTCGCCCTTGACTGTCCGGAATTCCGATTCCTCACACAATGCCCTCCCACCTGAGGCGCGTTCCTCCACCCCTCCGCCAGCGTCACAGGTGGTGCGCTTCCTGGCAGAGAACCAGGCCGACCTCGCCGTGCACGACCAGCGGAAGAACACGCCGCTGCACCTGGCGGCGAAGCAGAACTTCGCCGCGGCCTGCGGGCGCCGTGGTTCGGACTCCGTCCTTGGGGCGGAGCGGTGATCGCCACCGTCCGGAGCTGTGTGGCCTGGGGGAACTGGGATTGTGGAACCGGTGCCGTTGGAACTGTACGGTTTCTTTGCGGAAATGGGCGAGAGAACGGGGGGAGAGTTCTTCTCTCCAAGAGGCCAGAGGCGCCGGGAGGGTGAAGTCGGAACTCGGTTCATCGAAGAAGGCCGGAGAGGCGTGAGATGAAGCGGGTGAACGCTCGCAGGTGAAGGGCAAAAGCGCGAGCGGTTCGGAAGGGACGTAGCTGAGTTGGTCCCGTTTTCCACTCCGGAAAGGCCAAGGCGTGTGGAAGCAAAAGAGATGGGACGAAGCACAAAAGGCAAAGGCAATTGGGAGGAGATAAGGAGACCACACCATAATAATCCATCACAAAAGATCTTTTAAAGGGGAGACCATGCGAAACAAGCCAAATGTGAGCCATTATGAACCCATATCCTTTTTTTGCGTTTCTTCCTGTTCCACGATCTGATTCTCTTCAACTTGGATATGACATGATGATGGAATCAATCGAGATGTTCTTCTTATATCAATAAAAAAGAAAACTTAAAAAAAAAAAGACATAGAAAACATATCCGTTTGATTCCGTCATCATGTCCATCTAATTCGAATATGGAGCCCTCCCAATTCGACCTCCTGGAAGAATGAACATGACCCGTCCACCGTCCCAAACACCCGTTGAGTCCACCGATCCGTTGAGGAAGTTCCTGGAGCCCAAAATGGGGATTTCACCCTCGAACCATGTCGATGAAAAAGAACTTCGACCCGTCGACGCTCCGTTTTCGTTCCCAGCCCTACTTCCGGTCCCGAACCAAACCATAGGGATTGGTTCAGGTCACCCCTTCAAAGGATTCGGGTCCAGGAGCGTTTGGGTAGGGATCTTCTAGCGAAAAGACCATTGTTTTTGTTCCTCCCTAAGGATCCGCAGGGTTTTGAGGGTACATGAGGGGCCCCAAACCCTTGTGAACAGCAGGGTTCGACCCCTTCAGAGTGGAGGGTCCGAACTCGGATCCTTAGGGCTGGGTCTTTCCGAACGGCTGGAGCTTCCTCAGCTGGAGAGCGGAACGTCTCATCGAACGGAACTTCCAGGGATCAAACATCTCATCGTCCGCCGAGGTGCTTGGCGTGGGCACGCGCAGCTTTAGACGCGCCCAACGATGAGGCAGCGGTCCAACGCAAGATACATCGACAAGCACATCATCCAGTAGTGGCTGTTAAGCAGTGTAGGAAATGGATCTTTATCAGAAGTTGGAGGTGTTGGAGATGCTGAAGAAAGATCAAAAGATATGGTTCACCATGATTCACCATTTCACCACACTGAATCATTGTAGACGTTTACCATTCACAGTAAGTCGTCATTTGCAGATCATGTGGGCTTCAAACAAGCCATGCTGGAGATCCCGGGTTTCCACACTCCTTTTGGGAAAAGCAATTATATTTTTATATAACATATAACGAATATTATGTCAAGAATTGTCTAGATATTATACAAAACATTACAAAACATTCAAACACTCACATACTCTTCCAACAGATCACATCCTTCACCATTGGCTTCAAACATGTAGACAGCTGCAGGGCAAAGCGCCCATGCTCCTGGCAGTGGAGCGTGGCTTCTTGGAGACGTCCCGCGTCCTCCTCGAGGCGCCGTCCTCCACGGACCCTGAGAGGGGGGACCAGCCAGGGTCGGGTCCTTTCAACTGGCTGGTTTAGGCCAAGAATAGCATAGAAAGGTGGACCAAAATCCTGGAGGTGGAATTGTCCTTTACTTGGGTGGTGCCCCAAACAAAAGTCTTTTGGGACTTCCAGGGTTTCATTGTATCGCCGGCCGCGGAAAACAGATCGAGGATCTTCGTCGTCGTTGCTAAGCAGAGCCTCCTCGGCATCAGGTTGACGCCTCGGCGTGGAGCAGAGGCGTTGCTCGTGCCTGCCATCCATTGAAAGCACACAAATAGGTGGCTTCCAGCACCAAATAGGTGGTCCGGGTGGTTGGATGGAAAAGACCTCTTCAGGGGAGGTCTATAAACCACCTGACCCGGGTGGTGCGATCAAAACAATTGAGCAGTTGGTGAAAGACTGGAAGCTACGCTGGGCAATTGACGCCAGGACGTCTCTATCTCTCTATGCACCGGGCAGCACTCAAGAGGCAGATGCTGAGAAAGAGAAATGGTCTTTGGCGAAGTGTGATGAGTGTGCCATAGTGTGCCCACGTTGTGGGCAGACGGTCTCTTGCTGGCTTTCGTCCCGAATTTCTCAGGTTTGGTTGATTTTTGATGTTGGCCAGCTGGGCTCTGCACTGTGTGGTTGGCAGAGGTTGCACAATGTGGGTGGATGATCGATTGCTTTTGAACCAGCTGTTCCTAAGAAAGCGGAAGCAGGAAGAAGAAGAAACAAGAAAGGGAAACAGGAAACGGACGCCAAAAGAAGAAGAAGGAGAAGAATAAGAAAGAGGGAAGAAGAAGAAGACATCCCTGAGATGGGATTTTCAACAGTCCAAAGAAGGTTTGGCAGGGACAAAGCCTTGCAGGCGCGATTCTTGCTTACCGCCCAACTTGAGGCTTGATGTAGGGGTGTTGAAACATGTCGCAATAGAGCTGTAAGGTGTTGGAAGCAGAAAGTTCTTCCCTTGTTCCAACAAACATATGGAAAATCCTCAGGTAGTGGGCAGATGCATGCTTTAAAAACACGTGGCTATCACAAAACCAGTACTCAATGAGGTCAAGGACCAGGTCAGGTTTTACTTGGCCCTTGGACTTGTAGGGCGTGCTATCACGTGCTTGTTCTTTGTTTTTCAAGGAACCATCGCACTGATCCTTCCTTCAGCCCCGAACACGCGGCCGAACACCTTCGGCCCTACGACCCCGTCAGGCACAGGGGGAGCCGCAGCAGTTGCCGCTGGCCATGGCGTTGATGGCGTCCACGGGATCAACGCCACTGGATGAAGAATGGTGAGTGGATCAACACGACACGTCTGGGACTGCCATATATGCCGAGAAACGGCCAGGGGGGGTGGTTTGAGGGGGCCAACTGATCGGCATAGATTCCAGTCCCATGTGTCGTGTATGGGGTGGATCAACGCCATGATTGATGACTTCATTGATACCAGTGCCAGGGCCCCGGACCATGGGGTGTCCAACAATAGCCCCTTAGAGGTTCAGGGATGTCCATGAACCACCCCAAACAGGGGGCCCTGGTATATGTTTTTACATTGGTTTTACCCTCTCTCTCCAACGTTTTCATGGAAGTGCACATTTTCCGAATACCAAACAAGGGGGTGAACTCCACTTCCATGTTTGTGCACAGCTGCAGTTCTAATTTTTTTCCTGCCACAAGACCTCCAATGCCTTGAGAACCTGACATGATCCACCATGATCTCACCATATTAAACAGAGACTGTCTCCGTCGCAGCGGGTGTTCAGCGAGGGTCGCGGGTGGCTCGACAGCTGTGGTCGACACGGGTGGGTCCGGACCCCGTGAACCCTGTGGGTCGGACCGGACTCTGATGATGATGAGCAACGAGAAGGGAACATGGGATCAACAAGAACCTCCCTTCAGGAGTCACAAGACGGGGTGGTGTTGAGTCCCCAAGTGAGTGGATCATGGGCAATTAAGCACCCCTTTGTGACTGCTGGCTGGGTCTATTTGTTGCTTCCCTGGGTCTAGTTGGTTCCCAAGTTGGTTCGTAGGCAAGCGAAGAAGTAAAAAAAGAGTTCCCAAGTTGGACTCATACTAGGATCTCAAATCGTGTCGTAGTTTGTCAAGAATTGTTTGCAAAGGAAGCATGCCATCACACCATGTTTGTTGGAGAACTATCCATGCGGACAAACATGAATGGACATACTCGAGACACCGAAGTTGACACTTCTTTCCAAAACGCCTGAATGTCCTGAGACTGCTAGATGTCCCTTTTTAACAAGTATGGGGTATCCATCAACCCCATGAGTGTCTCCCCATTTCTCGACCCAACCACCGGCGCCCGGTCAGCTCCCTAGGAAGGAGCTGGAGTCGTTGATTTGGATCGGCATGGACCACGACAAGACCAAGGACCCCCGGTCTTCACCACGGCGAAAAAAAACGAAAAAAGCCCACGGCCGAACGACGGGAGGACGACCCCCACGAGTCTGCGGACAAAGTGGGTCTTCCCAGAAGCCATGTGAAGCCATACTATGCACGTCTTCCTCCATTTTGGGAATCACTTTCAGACACTCCGTTCCCAGCCCGGTGGGTCCAGATTCACAAGCTATAGAGGTTGGTGAGAAACCTCAGACCCCTCCAGTCCCGATTTCGGGCCGAGTTCGGGTTGCGTCCTGCGGCGAGTGCTAAGACTGGATCCGATCTGCTCTCGATCCGTTTCAGCCGTTGAAACCGCCGGAAGCGCCGGGATCCCCTTCGAGCGAGCGAGCACGACGCGCGCGCGCGCGCGATGAACGCGGAAGGAGAAAGAGCTCTCTGCGCTGCATATGGCCGCGGCGAATGGGAACATTGAGGTCCTGAAGTGCGTCCTTGAGGAGAGCGGGGGGGTGGTCATTGGAACCCAAACAGCATGAAACAGCTAAGTTCAGCAGGTTGGCTAGTGAGACCTCCAATTGTTTTCTTCTATATATAGTCCATGTTGGGACACCTGAGGGACACTTGAGGATAGGGCTTGCAGTTTAACCGCAACGTGCTGCACCACCCTGGGGAACTTTGGGCAGCACCTGTTCGATGGATTGTTTTACCATGCCGCATTCTTCAGAGGATCTCTCCTGGTTTCTGACAGAGAAAGGCTCATCAGCAGAGATCTCAAAGAGAAAGCCCTGTTCAAATGGCTTTGTTCCGGGATGCAAGGACTCCAGGACCTGGTTTCGCTTATAGGAGGATGATCCTCTATTTTCTCTATGGATGAACCATGATGAACCCATATGAACCCCCTTCTCCAAAACATGTTCCCAGACGTTCACAGCCCGACCGGTCCCACAAAACCATAGGGTTTGGTTCGGGTCCAGACCCCTGACCCGTCCCGATGAGGAAGCTCCCGACCCCTGCAGCAGGATTCGGGGCCGTTCGTTCGGGTCGCGGTTGGGTTCTACATATGTCCCGGATGCTGGGAGCTGCGCATCCGATCTCCTGCCCAGACGCGACCCTGGACCCGAACCTATGCAGGGGGCCGTACCCGAACCTATGGAGGGGTCTGGGGTCTCATATGGAGGGGTCAGGGGTCTCGAATCCCTATGGTTTTGAGGGACCAGTCGGGCTGTGAACGGAGCGTCTGGGTGGTTCCTTTCCTTCATGACCTCCTTCGACCGGAAGCAACGTCCTACGACCCGACAGCGCGATGGTAGGGGCTGTAGACGGTCCTATAGGCCCTGTGGCGGGGCATCTTCAGGAGGAAGGCGTGGATGTGAATCTGGCCTCCAAGCAGGGCGCCACGCCCCTCTACTTGGCAGCTGCGTGGCAACGTGAGGAGAGGAACGGCGAGACGCCTAGAGATGGAAGGAAGGCAGGAAGACAGGTAATTAGTTGGTCTTAGGATGTCTTGGGTGTCATTGATGGACGTGATTATTCTAGATTCTACCAACCATCACCATCCACTACTACAGGAGGAACTTTATCGGTAAACTTCCACTCTATATTAAAGGAAGGAAATAGCACCCTGTGGTAGTGTTGATACTGTCAGTCGGGTTGAAAGGAAAACCGGAAAACCTGATCATCCTTCCGGCACAGGAGACCTTGTGCTGCCTGCTGGAGGCACGTGCGGATGTCACTTGACTCCGGATTTTGACTCCCGAAGTCAGTTGAGGTGATGTTCAGATGTGTTCCATTGGTCCATATAGAACTCAAAACGAACCAATTCAGGTCCGAAACGAAGGGTCGTTTTTTCGTGTCGGAACTCGAACGCTTCGCCCTTGCGGGTGCGAAGCTTCGCTCCTCGTCCCGGGTCCCGGGTCCACGTGGTACGATGAGCTGTCTTTGGGATGAGTTGATAGAGGTCTCCAACATCGAGGTTGGTCCTGTATGCTCCAAAGAATCCATGAAGATGGAGTGAACACCAAGTGGAGCTCAGCTGTTTGGTAATGGGAGTTCAATGTCATCTGAAATCGGGAACCATTTTCCCATCCAAATCACCATGATGAGTTCACGGAGACAGTAGATTGGTCGAACCAAGCGGATGGTTTTTTTCTGTCGCTTTGGCTGTTGGCGCAAACCGATGAGTCGCAACCAAACGGATGGTTAAATAATGTATAATGCTTTGCCCAAAAAGAGCCGTGCTTGGAGGTTTGAACCCAATAGGACTTTTTGATAGGAACTTGCAGGTGAATGGGTTAAACATCCTTAATTGCAGGTACGCCGCGAATGGCACTTAGACGAGATGTCCCTGTGTAAAGACAACATAGAATGGCCTATGTATCACCGCCTCCAGTTGTTCAAAGGGGATCGTCCACACACATCACACATCAACAAGAAGTTGCGTCGTTGTGGCGTCCTGCTTCTGCCTGAGTCTCAACACCCAGGTGAATCAGGCCGAAAGCAACGGCTGGTCCCCGCTTCACGTGTCGGTGCAGCGTGGGCATTTGCCCGGCATCCGCTGCCTCTTGGAGGCGCCAGTGCCCCATGCGCGCGAACCAGACAGGGGGGATGGATCCAAGGCAGGCCGTCGGGTAGATGAAGACTCCAACAGGAAGAACCTGAAAAAGACAATCCCAGTTGGGTATTTTAGGTTTTGGTCCTATATATATATATATATATATCAGGTCACTTCGTCCATCTCTTGGCTCTGATGGTTGGTGATTCACATGATGAGTCTTTTTTCGAAAGAACTCCTTTCACCCAGACGCGACCCGTTCGGCCCCTCATCCTATGGTCCGGGGTCGGAGCTTCCTCAGGACTGGACGGGTCAGGGGTCTGGACCCGAACCAATCCCTATATGGTTTTGAGGGACGGAGCATCTGGGCATGTTGGATGTTAGGCTCTGAGTTTGGACCTCAAAAGCTCCATAGGTCACCACTGGGCGGACAGGGTCGGGTTCACCGTGTCAGGCACCAGCGTGAATTCCAAACTAATTGGTGGCCAAAGCCACGGAAAAAGACTTCCAAGACATGGACATGGGGAAGACTTGCTGGCTGAACACATTGGTGTGCCTCACTTGGAATCCTCTCTTTGCACCGAGAAGCCCACGTTACGTGTGGTCTTCTGATTTCATGGTGCTTCAACAGGATCATCTTGGCCATCCATGTATTTCACCATCTGGATTCTTTCAACAGGGAGGTGATCAAGAATCTACCAACAGAGGTTGAAGAACCTGAAAAGGACTATCCCTGAATGGTCCTACCAGGTCACTTAACCTCTCTTGGTATCTCTTCCTCTTCGGAGCGTTTCGCCCACCCAAAGACCCGCGACCGGCCAGCGACGACCGCCAGCCAGCCACCGGCGCGACGCACAGGCCCAAGGCGATCCCAACAAGGCCGACCGGAGCCTCGGTCGAGAACGGGGTCCGGAGGAAGAACCACCACGGGTCGAAGGCACAAGGACCTCTACGGAATTTGGTGGAGGCGTGTTTTCATTTGGGGGGGAAGAAGGTGAGATGTCCTCGGCCAGCCCGGGCAAATCCACATCCGCTGGAAGTTCACCTTGATCTTAGGAGAGTCAAGGGCAAGCACTGGGTGGGAGAGGAAGAAAGGTGGCTGAGTTCGCAGACGCTCCGTTCACAGCCCTTGGGCCCTCAAGAGTATAGGGATTGGTTCGGATCCGCGGAGCCCTCCAGTCCCGATTCGGGTCCGACCCCCTGCAGCAGGCTTCGGGGCCGAGTTCCGGGTCGCGTTTGGGCGGTTCCAACACGCTTGGGGCCGAGCTCATCGGGGTTCTGAGGACCGATCGATGTTCACGGGCGTGTGGATGAGTCATGTGGTTCATGGATGCTGGTGCCGGGTGGGGTGGTGATTGTGTTATCAGATCTGTTAGACCTGGGCATGTTTACTGGTTGAGGAAGAAGTGTATCTCTTCACCGATGGAAATGACCTTTTGGGGAGACCACCTTCGGCATTGTTTTCGTGCCAGAATCATCCGCTTGGTGGTTTCGTGTTGTTTCTCCATGCCTTGATGCCTTTTTTCGCCTGTCAACACTGTCAACCAGCAAAAAGATGTGGCTGCAAAAAAAACACAATCCAAGTAAACACCGGGGTTGGGATGATTTTACTGTAGTGTTTCTCTTGCAAGGGTGAGGATGGTATTTCTGAACCATAAGGACATGCCATTGCTTAACAGGGTGTGGTAAAATGGATAATTTTCTTACAGGGTGTTGATACCGTCAGGGTATTTCTGAACCATGGCTTAACAGGATGTGCTTTCACGGGATATTTCTGAAGCATGCTTAGCCTGATGACCATGACATATTCCCCATACCATGTTCCCCCAAAAGAGTCCATCCCACGCCATCGTGGCCCAGGAAGCACCGGTGCCCCATCTACTTTGCCGCCGTCTCGGGGAACCTGCGTGTGCTAAGGTCTCGTGGCTTGAAGATAGAAGCAAAGTTCAACACAAAAGGAAGCAACTATAGTATTGTATGACTATACACTATATGCAACTGCTGTTCTCAGTGGTTTGCATTGAATGTTTCTGTTTTCGATGTTCGTGCTGCGTGCTCTTCTTATTTCTTCTTGCACTCCAAGACTGGTCCCTCCTCACCATCGGCAGTGGAAGCTCCATCCGCCTCAACGATTGTTGTTGTTTGCGGTCATGGCGCCTACCCACAGAACCCAAATAATTAGATCCCTGCCACCCTTATAACCTAAACTTAGCCCCAACACTCCATGTAATCATATATATATATGTTCCCTACATGAAGATATGATATGCATATGTATACTTGTAGTGTCATATATCAATGTAGTCTCCCCAGCCCTTAGAAAGCAACAACCCTCCGAACAAACGGCGGCACGAACCCCCTCGCCACGCGCCGGTCGGTCTCCGCCGTCCCGTCGTCCGGGCTCGTCGTCCAAGGCTCTTGGTCTCGAGCCGTGCCTCGCCCGACGTGAAGGACCGCCGCGGCTGGAGCCCGCTGCATACAGCGGTGCAACATGGACACGTGGAGGTCGGCGGGTTCGGGCGGGTTTGGCGCGGTGGTCCAACGCAAACGCAGGTGGGGAGTGACGATAGGAGGATGTGAATACCCTTTCTTGCGCGGGGTCAGACCGCAGATGGACTGGGCGGGTGGTTTCAAACTTTACTTGGGATGATTGATAGCCAATTATGCTTGGACCCACAGGTGGAAGGATGAAGCAAACAGAGGTTGAAGATCTATCCCAACGAGGTGGACCAATGACCAACGGAGCTTGAAGAACCTGAAAAGGACTATCCCAGTTGGGTATCCCAGAGTGGTGCTTGAACCCGCTGGCCCACTGACGATTGTTTCGTTTGTGAGTTGAACCCACGACCCAGTGGATCGTTTGTGGATCATTGTGAATCCTTCGCCGGGGACGAGGAGTTTGCACGTATACGCGCAGTAAATATATCAACCACCAGCGCAGGTGGAATGAAGGAAGCAAAGAGTAGGAGCTCGGGTGTGAACCAGCTGGAAGGTGGATCCAGCAGATCGGAAGTGGGGACGCTGTTCGACCAAAAGAACGTTCCCCAGGAATCCAGTCGTACCTTCCCAGACGGTACTTGGACCCTCATGTTTGGCACTTAAGGAGCATGTTTTTATATTTACCGACTCTGATAATGACTGGCACGTGAGATTCTTTCTGCATCATCCAGCATGATAGGCTGATATATAGGCTGTTAAACCGGAGTTCTGCCTTCACACAGCTCCTAGATGCTCGGAGGGAATTACAAGATGTGCTACCATGTGCCACCTGTTTGCTGCGTCAGGTGGCAAGATGCTTGATCGATTCGATGGCGGATCTCAATCTGCTGCTCGCCAGACGTTACCTCGGAAGTCACGAGACGGCAGGTGATGAAAGGACGTCCATTCGCGGAAGTCACACCCACCATGGAACTGAAGTTGAGGACAGCCGAAAATCCACATGTTCGTTGGTATACCACTGAATCCACAGCCCAAGCGATGAGTTCTCAGCCCAAGCGATGATCCAGTCATCACCCGATCCAGTCATGAGCAACCCTAAGGATCCGAGTTCGGACCCTCCACTCTGAAGGGGTCGAACCCTGCTGTTCACAAGGGTTTGGGCCCCTCATGTACCCTCAAAACCTTTGTTTTTGAGGTGCGGATCCTTAGGGAACAGCCAAAAGGGGTCACAAATCTTAATCTGAGAGGAACTTTTGCATAGAAATCATGAGGAAACCCTTTGAATGGACTGCTTCGAAGATCTTCCTGCGGCCGAGGACCACGAAACCGGGCTCCACACCCTTGGCCTTCGCCGCGGTGCACAACCACTTCGACGCCTTAGTCACTGGGCTCCACGCGATGATCGAAGCGTATCCGAATGGATGTCAGGTTGAGCCCAGCTTTTAAGCTCAGGATGACCTCCCTGGGGATCTGAGTCCGGACCCGACACCTTCAACAAGGAGGTCGAACCCTGCTGTTCACAGGGGGTAACTGAGGCTCCTCAAAGCCCTTAGTCTTTTTGAGGGTCCGGATCCTTAGGGCTATCAATTACCCCCCCTGGCAGACGATCCCAGCTCTGCCCGGTGAAGAATTGAACCCCATGCAAGACCCGACCCTTTTCCGAAGACCAAGCCAGTGGTTTTGGATTGTCCGCGTGGTCCCTTGCAACCAAGTCTTCTCTGCAAGCTCGTTTGAAACCTCCGGAAATGGAGAAAGACTCGTTGCCAACCTGGACTCCTTGCAGAACCGGCCCCAAAAATCGGAGGAATTGCTCTTGCAGAACCACGCGGACCCCAACTTCGCGGTGGGCGAAGGCCGGAAGCTGAGAAGAGGGCGTCAGGTGACGGTGACGTCGGCTTAACATCGATTTGGCTCTCAGGAGAGTGCTCTCCGGTGACTGCATACGGATCACTGATGGTGACTGATGTTGAAGGAAGACATCTTGCACCATGTGAGGATACAAAAAGGGTGCAGGTGCTGGTGACTAGAACCTCCAGCTGAAGCAGTAGATGGTATCAATTCTGGTCACTCGCCAACGTTCTGTATTGCGCACCCCGTGGAAGTGGTTGTTTCAGCATCTTCGGCTCAGCAGTCAAAGTTGCCATGCCGATGTTCGATGCACCAAGAGGAAAAGTACCCCAAAACAAAAGTCTTGCCGTTTGATTGGATGCAAGTTAAACCCAGCTCACACATCTTCAGTTTGCAGCGGAGGTGTGTTCTTATTTGTGTTCATGTCATGTTTGCATCCGTTTGCATTCTGAACGAGGCCATGTCCGTCTGAGGGATGGCATCTCAAACTCCAGGGGCTACTGGACGAAGAGCCCTTGGATGGCTGTTTTTGGGCCTCCTGGTGGTGTGGGAAAGAGTCCATTGCCATGCTTTTTCCGCGCTGTCCAAAGCTCAAAAGCATAAGGTCTGGAAACAATTGCGGGAGTTGAAGGAAGAGGAAGCTCAACTGAAGAAGTTTATGAAGACATTGGCTTGGCCAAAGTTGACTTGCTTCCAAGCATTCGGCAAGACATACAACTTGCCGTTGCGTGACCGGACTGCGAGCAAATCCCCTTCAGCAGCTGAGTTGGGGTACTTGGGTGGTTTCTTTGACGGCGACGGGTGCGTGGCTCCTCAAAACAATTTGTCAGGCTGTCAGCTGAGAATAGGACAACTGGCAGTCAATGCCAAGGTGCTCATCCTGTTTCGGCGCTTCTTCGGAGGAGGCATAGGCATTCAGAGACCAGGCATTGGAATCCAACAGCCACTGCTGCAGTGGGTGATTTATGGTGAGAAGGCTAGAGCTGCAGCAAGGCAACTGTGCAAAGTTTGTTTGAGCAAGACCGAGCAGCTGCAGCTGGCCAGCAATTGGCCGGATGACAAAGATAAGCGCCAATTGGTCGCAGACAAGCTCCGCGAGCTAAAGCGGTGCCCTCCCAACATTCCAAAACAATCAAGGTCTTCATGGGCGCACTTGGCAGGGCTGTTCGATTCAGATGGTTGCATTCGTTTGCTCAGCTCACAGATATCTTTGTCGCTCAGAATTTCGCAGAAGTATGAAGCTCTTTTGGTTCGGAGCAAGACCTTTCTCAATTCAAAGCTTGGAACACCGATTGCAAAGGTCTATGCACTACGAGCAGACTATGTGTTACATGTCGATGATCAGAAAGCAGTGCAGGTTGTACTCAACAAGCTATTGAATGCTGGTTTGACCGTCAAAAGCCCCACAGCTAAGTGCGCACTGTCTCTTCGTGAAGACAACCATGCCTTAATTCGAGATCAGATATCTAGCACCACCACTGGCAATCAGGGCCGATACACCAGACTGGATGTGGAAGGCTGCAAGCGTTCTAAGCGCATACAGCGTCTCCAGACTGAGAAGTGCCAAGCTCAAAAGAGGAATGACAGCGACTTGGTGGCGCAGCTCGAGCGCAATATCACTGGCCTACAGCTCCATCATAAGATAGAGAATGTCAAGACTAGCATCCGTCGTCGGACTAAGGACATCCAGAAGTTGTTGCTTGAAGGTGCCAAATCAACTAAACCCCATCTAGCTAATATGCTTAAGCTCGATCTTGACCTCATCTCCTCCGCAGAAAAGGAAAAGTTGCCCGCACGTCGCCTGTCAAATTACGTGGGTGCAGGAGGTTGGTCAAGTGGGAGCTGTGGACCTTGTCGTGGGCCTTGTCGTGGGAGACTGTTTCTGGGTGACTGGTCAAAAGGGTCGTTTGCCACACGAGGCCCTTCACTGCAAGGGTAGACAGGTGTTCCAAGGACACCTCCGCTGGGTGCTGTTCACAGCATCTGTGTTTGGTGGACAAACATCCGCGAAAGACTTACACTCTGACTCAGTAACATGGAAGTGGATGGCACGGAGACTATACTATCTATACTTTCCTTTATGAACAGGAGGTCTTCCACTTCCATGTGAGTGAGTCCGAGTGTCAGTGTTTTAGCTACAACTGCAAGGGTACTGGGTCTTGATGCACATCCCACCACGGGGCATCAACAAAGGTGACCTTCCCTCATATGCTTCTCCATCTCGGAATCGTTCGCCGTTTGACTTTTTGAAAACATGGGAATATTGTTTTGAATATGATGATTCCCAACTAGATAGAATTACACACTCACCACATGCATGTCTTGAAGAAGCGATGCTTAGCTTGCAATTGGAAGCCAGCGCAAGCAGTGCTGTGCCGAAAAGAGGGTGGCAGATGTAGTGTCAGATTCTCACCGCCTTTCCAGCATCTCAAGCCACTCCTTTGACTTGAGTTTGTTAGGTGTGCTTTGCTGTGGACGAGTAGGGTACCGCGAAATGTGCTTGCAAGCAGATCCAGTTGGAAGGCATCTTTCGCTCAGGAGTTCAAGTTGACATGCCAACATGCAGGCATGGAAGCCAGCTCACACGTCTTCAGTTTGCAGCAGGAGTTGTTTTAAAAGCGTTTTGCTCTCCCTAGGCACTACCCTAGCTCCATGTGTGTTCTCCATGTGTGACACAGCCGTTCCTCTCCTCCTTAACCCCAGGTGTGTTCATGTTATCTCAGCGTTCTTTGTCTCGAGCCATAGCAGCTCAGCCAGCTCAGCTTGCTGCATGTCCGTCCGAGGGATCTCGGCATCTCGAACGACCGAACGAGCCTTTGGACGACGGGCTGTTGGACCACTCCTGGGGCTGCTCGCACTCCTGGTGGTGTGGGAAAGAGTCCATTGCCATGCGTTTTCCGCGCTGTCCAAAGCTGAAGAGCATGAGCTCCGGAAAGAATTGGGGGAGTTGAAGGAAGAGGAAGCTCAACTGAAGAAGTTTATGAAGACATTGGCTTGGCCAAAGTTGACTTGTTTCCAAGCATTCGGCGAGACATACAACTTGCCGTTGCGCAGCCGGACTGCGAGCAAATCCCCTTCAGCAGCTGAGTTGGGGTACTTGGGTGGTTTCTTTGACGGCGACGGGTGTGTGAGTCCTCAAGCCGATTTCTCAGGCTGTAGGCTGTTTATTTCACAAGTAGCAGTCAATGCTGAGGTCCTCATTTTGTTTCGGCGCTTCTTCGGAGGAGGCATAGGCATTCAGAGACCAGGCATTGGAATCCAACAGCCACTGCTGCAGTGGGTGATTTCGGGTGAGAAGGCTAGAGCTGCAGCGAGGCAACTGTGTAAAGTTTGTTTGAGCAAGACCAAGCAGCTGCAGCTGGCCAGCAATTGGCCATGCGACAAAGATGAGCGTCAATTGTTTGCACGCAAGCTCCGCGAGCTAAAGCAGTGCCCTCCCAACATTCCAATCCAATCAAGGTCTTCGTGGGCACACTTGGCAGGGCTGTTCGATTCAGATGGTTGTATTCATCTGAAGTCCTCACAGACATCTTTGTCGCTCTTAATTTCGCAGAAGTATGAACCTCTTTTGGTTCGGAGCAAGACCTTTCTCAATTCAAAGCTTGGAACACCCATTGCAAAGGTCTACGCAGTACCTGCACGCTATGCCTATGATTTACAAATCAATGAAAAGAAAGCAGTGCAGGTTGTACTCAACAAGCTGCTGAATGTTGGATTGACCATCAAAAGACGCTCAGCTAAGTGCGCACTGTCTTTGCGTGAAGACAACCATGCCTCAATTCGAGAGCAGATATCTTGCACAACCGGCAATCAGGGACGATACACCAGACTGGACGAGCAAGGCTGCAAGCGTTCTCAGCGGATACAGCGTCTTCAGACTATGAAGTGGAAAGTTCAAAGGAGCAATGACAGCGACTTGGTGGTGCAGCTCGAGCGCAATATCACTGGCCTACAGCTCCATCATAAGATAGAGAATGTCAAGACTAGCCTCCATCGTCGGACTGAGGACATCCAGAAGTTGTTGTGTCAAGGTGCCAAATCAACCAAACCCCATCTAGCCAATATGCTTAAGCTCGATCTTGACCTCATCTCCTCCGCAGAAAAGAAAACTTGCTCGCACGACACCTGTCGAATTGGGTGGGTGCAGGAGGTTGGTCAAGTGGGAGCCGCGGACCTCGAACTTCAGTTTTTTCAATGCAGAATTGTTGGTTGATGTTGTGCGACCTTGGTTTGAAGTACCCCTTCAGCGTTCCAAGTTCCATTTGAGTTACTAGTTTTCATGGTCCTTGATCCACAAGGTGTTTGCAATGTCTTCGTGCTGGTCATAGGGTCGTTTGCCGCATGAAGCCGTTCTTCACTGCGAGGGTAGACAGGTGTTCCGACGCCACATCCGATGGGTGCTGTTCACAGCGCCTGTGTTTGCTGGACAAACATCCGCAAAAGACTTAAACTCTGACTGACTCACATCACATGGAAGCGGATGGCATGGTCCCGAACGGAAGACTAGATACTTTCCTTTACGAACAGGGGGTTTTCCGCTTCCATGTGAGTAAGTCGGAGTGTAAGTGTTTTAGAATGTGTTAGATATATATTATATATATAGCTGCAAGGGTACTGGGTCTTGACACACATCCCACCACCAGGAAACAACCAAACTAACCTTCCCTCATATGCTGCTCCATTTCAGAGTCCTTGGGCGTTTGACTCTTTGAGAGCGTGGAAATCATTTTGGAACATGATGGTTCACAACTGGATGGAAGATGACACGCTCACCACATGCATGTCTTGAAAAAGGGATACTTGCAACTGGAAGCCCGAGATATTCATAAAAGTTGCAAATCTGGCATCAGATTCCCACCGCCTTTCCAGCATCTAAAGCCACTCCTTTCATTTGAGTTTGCTTGTACGCGTGCTTTACTGTGGGAGAGTAGGGTACAGAGAAATGTACTTGCAAACAGATCCAGTTGGAGAGTTCAAGTTCGACATGCCAACATGCAGGCATGGA